ACACCTTGTCCAACATCAGTCTTAATGCCCGGCCTCGGATCCTTCCTTCCTCCTCTCCAGCCTGCTTTTCCGGGTTGACCGGCCCAGCCTGCCTTTCCAGGGTGACCGGCCCAGCCTGCCTAAGGAGACAGAGCTCCCCACAGGGCAGTCACAGGGCCCCGCTACACGGCCACACGGCCAGGGCCCCTCTCTCCCCAGACTTAGTCCTGAAAGCTACCCCGCAGGCCCCTCACCGTCCTCCACACTGAAACACCCCCCCAGCCCACCTGGAGCTCCCACCTCCGCTCTCCCGGAGTTTCCCGCTGCCCAGCCCGGCCCGGAGAGCGGCCCTGCAGAGCTGCGCTTTTCACCAGGAAACAGCCCGAGCTCACATCAGGCACCAGGACCTGCCCACAGCACTGAAGCTCAGCTTGTGCAGGACAGAGAAGGTGCCCCTCCCAGGAAGTCTCAGAATGGCCTGGGTGTTAAAGAAATGCACAACTGTAGCTCGGGCGGTGTGGCTCAGTGGTTAAGCGTCGACCTATGAACCAAGAAGTGACAGTTCGATTCCTGGTCAGGGCACATACCCAGGCTGTGGGCTCTATCCCTAGTGTGGGGCGTGCAGGAGGCAGCTGATCAATGATTCTCTCATCACTGATGTTTCTCTCCCTCTCCCTTCCTCTCTGAAATCAGGATATTAAATATATATAAAGTAATACACAATTTTAGACAGTGTAGTCAGAAAACACCCCCCAGGGAGCTCTCTGGGCGCCCGCTGTGAGCCCACCCCCAACCACGCGGGCGTCTTCCCCAGGACCCGCTCAGAGCCCCAGAGAGACTGAATGCGGGTGCCATCGGCATCCGGCCTCCTCACCCTCCCGCTCTGTGGCTTTACACCATAAATGGCCACCATTTAACTGTCCGCATGAGAACTCGCGTCTCATCTCCTCCAAACGCAAATTCCTGTTTTTTTGAGTAACTTCCGGCGTTATGGTGAGTTCATTTCATATTGACTCACACAGAATCTCAGCAAGGCCTTGCGATGCTGTCCCCCCGCTCACAGCCGAGGAAACAGTGGCAGAGACACGTGTGCGCGGGCCGCTCAGGTGAGAGCCGCTCAGCCGCACACCCCGCGAGGCAGGTCCGAGGGTTCCCACCTGCTCCCCGGCCCCGCACCGCTTTAAACACTCACCCTGTAAGTGTATCTGTGCGTGAATTTGCCACACACAGGAAAACTTTATTTTTAAGAAAATAAAAAGATAAACTTAGTCTGAAATAATTCTGATATAACGGAATCCTTGCTTTCGCCTCCCGGGGAGCCTTTGGTGAGTTAGGACTAGAGCAGCGGTTCTCAACCTGTGGGTCGCGACCCCTTTGGGGGTCGAACGACCCTTTCACAGGGGTTGCCTAAGACCATCGGAAAACACATATATAATTACATATTGTTTTTGTGATTAATCACTATGCTTTAATTATGTTCAATTTATAACAATGAAAATACATCCTGCATATCAGATATTTACATTACAATTCGTAACAGTAGCAAAATTACAGTTATGAAGTAGCAACGAAAATAATTTCATGGTTGGGGGTCACCACAACATGAGGAGCTGTATTAAAGGGTTGCGGCATTAGGGAGGTTGAGAACCACTGTCCTAGAGCAGCCACATAGGTCCTGGAGGAGGAGTGTTTGCGGCATAATTTTCACACAGTGGGAGTGCCTGTGGGGTGACGTTCTCTAGATCACACGTGAGCGCCGTCTCCGTGCGGCGGGCGCAGGCGCACGCGGAGCTGTGACACTTGTGATTGACAGGCTTCTCCTCGGGAGGACAGCGCCTCCGAGCAATCTGTCCCAACAGCTCTGCGATATGCTAATTCCCTTCAGGTGAGCGAGGAGATGTGTTCCAATATCTGCCACAGAGCAACCCACACCTGGAGCCCGGGCAGAGCGGGTGCGGGATCGGGAGAGGCCATGAGTCACCGGGAGCCTGTGCCCGGCTAAGGGCCTCGCTCGGGGCGGCGGGGCGGCGCTCAGGCAATGCGCTGCGATCATGGCGAGGCGCGTTTACACAGTGGCCATGATTCACTGTTTCTTTATTCCTCAAGCCGTAATTTTTAAATGTCTTTTTAGGAAAATCCACCTTTTTCAGAAAGTGAACCTACCATCACTTGTGTCTTTTCCTTCTGGGGTATCACGGACCAAGCAAGCAGTGCCTCTACTTACCTCCTGACGCTTCTGAGACGCCTGAGGCGGCCAGGGTGCCCCACGAACACGGGGCTAGACCACGGGGTGGGGGCCCGACAGACACACTGGTCACGCGGCCAGGAGACCAGATGTTCGGACATCATGGCATCCGGGCTGGGAACAGCTCTGATTAGGGGTTACGCGGTACAGAGCACACAGCCTGGGCTCGGGATGTGTTTGTTTACCCTTTCTCTCCTATGTGTTAACTGAGTTCGACGTTCTTGAACTCTGGTCCTCGCTCCAGAACAGTTTTGTCTTTGTTTTTTTGTGGGTTTTTTTTTTGGGGGGGGGGGGGGCATACGCCGGGCTCCTCTGCAGGCCTGGGAGCGCCGTCTCTGACGTGGTTACCCCGAGCGCATCCAAGGAGCCGCCAGACGAGCTGCTCTTTCTTCGCCAGCCTCTCCTCACTTCCACCTTCCCCTCAAGCGGGGGGCTGACCAAAGGTAAACAGAGAAAGACCAAAAGGTGGTTCGGTTCGCCTGGCAACACACGGACGCTTGCCCTTCGTCCTTTCTGTCCTGAAGAAGGCAAAGCCCCGAGTCTGGGCCTCGGGCGGGGCCACCGCTCAGGGATGGAGCTGGGCCCCGGCAGGCGGGGGCCCGGGAGACTAGGGAGCTGAGAAGAATGTGAGGGCCTGGGCCCGGGGCCGAGGGAAAAGGAAGGAAGACTCCCGAACGCCCACGCGATGTAACGACGACTCTGAGCTGGGAGCAAACACCCCTCCCAGTGTGTGGGCCACTCGCTGGACCAGGCCTCGGCTCCAGGGGCGCTGCTCACAGCGAAGGGCGAGGAGCAGGTTTGCCTTCTCTGCCCTTGGGAGTGGGGGAGGGGACTCAGTGCTACCCCAACAATGGCAGCTGCGCGGTCCAAGCCCCCAGGTGCTCGCTGCGGGTACTCACGCCACACCACACGGCAGCACCTCAGGTGGGTGTGACTGTCCCCACTGACGACGAAGAAACGATGACGAGGACTTGCCCAAGGCCACGGCTGAAGTGGCAGACACCCGCCTGGTCCCACGGCCACGGCTGAAGTGGCAGACACCTGCCTGGTCCCACGGCCACGGCTGAAGTGGCAGACACCCACCTGGTCCCTAGGCCACGGCTGAAGTGGCAGACACCCGCCTGGTCCCAAGGCCACGGCTGAAGTGGCAGACACCCGCCTGGTCCCACGGCCACGGCTGAAGTGGCAGACACCCGCCTGGTCCCACGGCCACGGCTGAAGTGGCAGACACCCGCCTGGTCCCACGGCCACGGCTGAAGTGGCAGACACCCGCCTGGTCCCACGGCCACGGCTGAAGTGGCAGACACCCGCCTGGTCCCAAGGCCACGGCTGAAGTGGCAGACACCCGCCTGGTCCCACGGCCACGGCTGAAGTGGCAGGCACCCACCTGGTCCCACGGCCACGGCTGAAGTGGCAGACACCCGCCTGGTCCCACGGCCACGGCTGAAGTGGCAGGCACCCGCCTGGTCCCAAGGCCACAGCTGAAGTGGCAGACACCCGCCTGGTCCCACGCCCCTGCCTGCCCAGGGCTGGGATCAAGGAAGAGTCTGGGCCAGCAGTTGGAGCTGCCGAAGGCATGACAGACCCTGAGCTGCCCGGATGCAGGCTTAGCTCCACCCCTGCTCCTCCGCCTGACTGTCGCCTTTCTGTTCTCACCGCAAGGTGATGAACGCTGCAGGGGTTTAAACCGACTCAGCCCATGGGTGGGCCTCTCCCACCGCGGGCACCGGGCAGGGCTGGGATCAGAAAAGGACGTGGGCGGAAGGACGGTCAGTGGGAAGCCCCCCTCAGCTCTCCATCATTCTCAGTAATCTACGCCCCTCACGCCCACACCCTCCACGCCAACGCCGCGGCGCGTTCCAGATCCACGGCGTGGTTATGTTGATACGAGTGTCAAACAGTCAACTTTCCCGGGAGATTTCATGATTAACACTGTTTATAAAGACACAATTAAAGCTGTAACCCACCAATAACATCGATCACGTGACGGGTTTCTTACAGAAGAACAAAGGGACCGCCACGGAGGAAGCCGATGCGTATAGCAGGCGCCCGCCTCCCTGGAGCCCAGGGAGCTGGGTGTGAGGAGCAGACGATGTCCCACACGATCACGGCATCCGCCAGGAACATTCAGACACACATTTTGTGGATTTCTGGCTATTTTTGATATTCAAATGTATGAAAATCTCAGAAGACTTCAAAGAAGAAAGAAAATTTGTCACATTTCAAACCAACATATTGAATCAAATAAATTAAGCCATGATTCTCAAACTGCTCGTGCAACTGACAGGTTCAAATGCATTTTAAAAAGGGGTCTGATTCCAAGCCCCAAATGCCATGAACAGGCCCCCCATCCCCGCCCCCCCACACAAGCTGGGTGCTGTGACACCCACCGCAATCAGCAAACGGGGCGAAGCTACAGGCTCCTTCTCTAAGTGCAAGGCCGCTTCTGTGACTGACGCCCCCTCTGTGTATCTCCGAGTCCCCTGGTTGTCGGTACCGTGCGCACATGATTGGCACTTACTGCTAAAAAGCGGTAGTTTCTCTCTTTAAAGAAAACCCTGCTTCTGTCTGAGACAAAAACAGAAAGGGCAGCCCCACTAAAGGGCTTCTCTCGGGCGGGTGGGCGGGCGGGCCGCTGTAAGATCTGTTTAGCCAACGGCTTTAACCTGGGAACGCAGACAAGCCCGTGGCTCAGGCTGCACGTCTCCCGCTGCTCACAGTGACTGCTCTTAAGGGCGGGGCGGGGGGGGGGAGCATTTGACAAGCTCTCCATTACCTTCTCTCCTACAAGGGTTTCCAGTTCTTTCAGGGTCCGGCCGCCATTCACTTCGCCTCCACTGCACCTGAGGGACAAAAAGAAAAGCTTGTTGTTAAAATGCAGCAAGTCAATGTTGACGTAGGGCACGCAGAGATCAAAATGAGAAGGGTTGCTTAACTGTGCATTTTAATTTTTTATATTTTTATTGATTTCAGAGAGGAAGGGAGAGGAAGAGAGAGAGAAGCATTGATCGGCTGCCTCCTGCATGCCCCACACTGAGGATCAAGCCCGCAACCCAGGCATGTGCCCTTGACCGAAATAGAACCTGGGCCCCTTCAGTCCACAGGCCGACATTCTATCCACTGAGCCACACCAGCCAGGGCTGCCCTGTGCACTTTTTTAAAAATATATTTTATTGATTTTTTACAGAGAGGGAGTGAGAGGGATAGAGAGTTAGAAACATCGATCAGCTGCCTCCTGCACACCTCCTACTGGGGATGTGCCCGCAACCAAGGTACAACCGAGGTACATGACCTTGGCCGGAATCAAACCTGGGACCTTTCAGTCCGTAGGCCGACGCTCTATCCACTGAGCCAAACCAGTTAGGGCACTTTTAAACGCTAGATAGCGCTCATGCACCACAGTCTGCCAGGGTGGGACCTCAGAACTGCTCTGCTGGGTCTGTTGGGGCCAAACCCACTTTTGTTGGAGAATCGCTTCGGTCCTGCAGGTGCTGAGAGCTGTTTCCCTGGGACACACGGCTCCAGGGCCCAGGGTGGGACCTCAGAACTGTTTTGCTGGGTCTGTTGGGGCCAAGCCCACTTTTGTTGGAGAATCACTTCTCCTGCAGGTGCTGAGAGCTGTTTCCCTCAGACACACAGCTCCAGGGCCCAGGGCGGCCAGTTTCCTCCAGTGCGGTGGTGATTAACCCATTCCCTCCTGGTTTCCTTGTGACCCCTCAGAAGTCACTTATCTCAGTGTTGACACCTGGCCTTGTCTTTGGGGTCTGTCTCTAGTCCTGTTGTTAATCCTGCTTGAGATCTGGCTTCCTGGATCAGCCCCTTTCACCAGTTCCGGGAAGGCCTCGGCCGTGTGGGCGTCACTCCCAGCCCGTCTCTCATGACCCTCAAGGGACCCGAGGGGCCTCGGTGGCGCGGAGCTGTGTTCCGGCTCGTTTCTCCTGCCTGGTCCGCCAGGCCGCTTACCTCTTGGGCTGTGTCTAATCTGCTTGTCAAACTCATTGAGCTTTAAATTGTTACTATGAAATAGAACCCATTTGCAGAAAATACATACAACAATGCAGTTTCGTTATAATCAAGGCAAAGCCTGTTTAACGATTACCCAGATTAAGAACTGAAGCCAAACACCAAAGGCCCTGTGTGCCCTTCTCCAATCCTACTGTTTCCTCTCGGCCTGGCAGTAACCGCCATCCTAGTACCTAACCTGTCACTTCCTTCTACTTGGTTATAACTGCACCCGAGGCATGTAGCCCTCAAAAATACAGTCCGGCTTGTTTGTATGTCACGTGAGTAGGAGATTCTTTTGTTTCTTGCTCCTTCGTTCATTCTTATGTCCGTGAGATTCATTCAACTTGCTAAATATAGGTGTTTTGGTTTTTTTATTGATTTCAGAGAGGAAGGGAGAGCGAGAGAGAGAAGCATCAATGATGGGAGAGCATCATTCACCGGCTGCCTCCTGCACGCCCCACACTGGGGATCAAGCCCACAGCCCAGGCCTGTGCCCTGACTGGAATCGAACTGTGACCTTCTGGTTCATAGGTCCATGTGCAACCACTGAGCCACGCCGGCTGGGCACTAAATTCAATAGGGTCAAGTTCTACCAACACGTCTTCCATATATATCTGTTGACATGATCAGTTCTAAGGACCCTGTCTTATCTCTTATCATTTCAAATTTCACATTTTCATATGAAGAACATTAAAAAAAAACCCACTTACCTCTTTATAAGATTTACATTTAGGTCCATCCCGCCAAACCTGGACAGGAACTGGAGGTACGGAACAGCACCCGCGCTGGTGAGGTGGATCTGCATTCAACAGGAAGAGGACAGCCTGTTAGAGGACTCGGACCCAAGCGGGGGGCAGCGCGGCGGAGGCGGGATGTGGGTGGGACACAGCTGCTCAGACCAGGGCTGAGTGACGCTCCTGCTCAGCAAACCAGGTGCAAACAACACGCATGCCAGTCTGCGCTAGTTAAACGTCAGCACGTTGTCTACAACATCATCTAAATCTAGGTCTACCTAAAAAATAAAGCCAAAATATATTCTAATGTGTTTACAGACGTGTGCTAATAACATTACATGTGTGTAAATAGAAATATGAAGGATTTGGTTCCCAAGGAGCTGAGGAACAGCACAGCGTTACCCCGAGTGCCAGCTAAACGCTGTGCACATCATACGCTCTTAAGGTAGAAAACGTCATTCTTAAATTCAAATTCTAGCAAAGACATTACTGGGTCAAGTGTGTCAACACTGTATGTTAACTTATCCTCCATCTTTAATTCACTGCTGTTGATAACTGTACTATGATTATTTAAGAGGATAGTTCTTCGTCTACACACTGAAGTATTTAGAAGGAAAAAACCAAAAACATAAGCAACTTCTCAAATGGCTCAGAAAAAAACATTATGTCTATTGTTGTGTGTGTCATGTACAGTACTGTTTACACACACACACACACACACACACACACACAAGGAAAGGTCACAGGAGAAGCAGGTGAGGTCACGTGTTCACATGGGCACGTGGGGGAGAGGGTACGGGCGCTGTTAGTGCCATAGCGGCCCACCCACCCTCTCCCTCTTCTGACAAACGCTCCGGAGTTTGAAAGTACTTCTAAGGAAAAAGGCCAATTTTTAAAAAAGTGAAAATAATTTTTCTCCCGGCCCCCAAAAGAACTATAAAACTAAAATGAAGACAAACACCATCATGATAAATGCATTTTATTCACGTTCACGCAGTACACAGAGCACACTTGCCCAGCGGCGATGGCTGCGGGTCTGCTCATGTGGCTTCACATCCCCTCAGCCCTTCAGGTGCCGCCGGAGCCCAGCGCGGCCTGCTGGTCTCCCCAGCGGACACCGTCCCTCCTCCATTTCAGCACGTGCCCCCGAGAGGGCGCGGAGGGAGGGTCCCTTGTGCAGCTCTTCCCGGGAGGACCCGTGGCTTCTGACCTGACGGGCCTTTGAGTTGACCTAACTTGGGGTGGACACCTGTCGTACAGAAGGTGAGGACAGGGTCCCCACGCAGCTCCCCGGGGGCGCCTCGCGGCTGGTGGGGAGGGAGTGGATGAAGCGGGAAAGACGCCGGCGGAGCTCACACTCCCCAGGGGCTCGGGTGCCAGGCCCGGTGCCCATGGGAGTCCCCAGGCAGCCCGGGTGACCCCCTGCGGGGCTGACATTGTGCGGCCTCCCCTCATGGCACTGCCATCAAGGGCCAGACAGCCCTGTGCTTCAGAGCCAGGCTCATCACACTAACCACCCGCCGGGGAAGCAGCCAGGCCATGGGCCTCCTGAGGCTTCTGGCACATTCCACGCTGTCCTGGTGGCCTAAGGCAGAGATGTCTGTGATGGCCAGCCCCGCGCCAAGACCTCAGACCCCACGGCGCTGTCCACAGGAGAGGCTCCGCTGAGAACTCGCCTTCCAATACTCGTGATTCCGGCAAAAACGTTCACAGATGAAAACCATCCACCGGCGAGGGGCTGAGAGCAGAGTCTCGGACGGGCCGGGGTTGGCGGCTGGGAAATCAGTATCCCTGCTGCCAAGGGCTTCAGAGACGCCGCTCCCACCTGGCGCAGCCACGGGCCAGGCGAGCTGCTTCCATTCTCTGGAATCCATTTCCCAAGCCAACTTCTTCCAAAACTGCTACATGAACACTCAGAAACCGAGGCTGTATTCTTCCATTCGTATTCCTGTCAACAGAAACTCAGGTGCGGGCCTGATCACAGCACCCGAAGTCAAACATGCTCAACATGGTTCTTAACATTAAAAATTGAATCGCAAGGCCTGGCTGCTGTGGCTCAGTGGATAGAGCATCGGCCTGCCGACTGAAGGGTCCCAGGTCTAAATCCAGTCAAGGGCATGTGCCTGGGTTGTGGGCTCGATCCCCAGGAGGGGGTGTGCAGGAGGCAGCCAATCAATGGTTCTCTCTCATCATTGAAGGTTCTATCTCTCTCCTTCTCCCTTCCTCTCTGAAATCAATTTATTGATAAATATATATATTTATTAAAACATCTATTTTAAATTGAAGCTCAAGTAAATTCACTCTAACTGGGAAGTTCTTTCCTCATTTGAAGGCGGATGTTCCCATGAAATGTTTTTCCAGTTGCACGCGTTTCCCGTTAGGCTGGCATTAAGTGTAGGAGAAGAACGGTTGTACCACCACAAGGACTCGTCATTAAAAGATCGAGAAAAGCCTCACGCTCCCAGCACTGCGGGGCTGGGAAGAGAAGCCGCGCCCTTCACTCTGGTGACTCCAGCCCCCGATTCACACGCGTCACAGGAGCTCGTGGCTCTAGAAAAACACGCCTATCATTGAGGATAGACTGCTAGGACCTGTGTTGTTTTGTTGTTTTTTTTAATCTTTGAAATTCAACATTTCTCAGTAACTTCTTTTAAAGACAGATGTAGCTTTTAAAAACAGATACACATTTCACATCTTCTGTGCTTTTCCTCTTCCTGCACAGCTGATTCGCATGGGAAGGTTGTCAAAATTTTAAATTAACATCAGATCATGAATATAGGAAACATGAACAGGAAATAATGTCTTTATTCTCCATTTGGTATAAAGTGTCAGTTCAATCAAGCCTATGAGAAAACAGATTTCCTGTTTGCAAGGACAAACGCTCTTTAAAAGTAAAAGAACATTATTCGCATATAACACAGCAATTCCACTCCCAGGTGTGTACCCAAGAGGAGGGAAGACCCATGTCCACACAGACATCTGTACATGAACTGTCATAGCAGCACTGTTCACAAAGGCCAAAGAGTGGAAGCAACTCCAAGGTCCACCGGCTGAAGACAGAAGGTGGCCTGTCCATACAGTGGAATATTATTCGGCCATAAAAAGAGGAAGTACTGATTCATGCTACAACACGGAAGAACCCTGAAAACATGCTAAATGAAGGAAGCCAGACACAGAATATCATATAATGTGCCGTTCCATTCACAGGGAATGTCCAGAATAAGCAAATCTGTTGTGACAGAGCAGGCTAATGGTTGCCAGGGAGCGGGGACGGGAGTGAGGAGAGGCTGCTAAGGAATACGGAGTTTCTCTCTGAGGTGGTGGGATGTCCAGGAATTAGGGAGTAGTTGCACAACTCTGTGGTTATATTAAAAACCACTAACTTGTATATTTTTAAATGGTGAATATGATAATATGTAAATTCTATCTTAATAAAGCTTTTGTTTAACATGTAGGTTCATATTAATTGACCATAAAGGTGTGGGTTCGTTTCTGGGCTCTCCCTTCTGTTCCATTGATCTCTATGCCTGTGTTTGTGCCAGTGCCATGCTGTTTTGATTATTATGCCCTGGTAGTATAGTTTGATGTCAGGTAGCATAATTCCTTCAACGTTGTTGTTCTTTCTCAAGACTGCTGTGGCTATTCAGGGTCTTTTGTGGCTCCATATAAATTCTGTGGTATTTCCCTAGTTCTGTGAAATATGCCAATGGTATCTTGCTAGGAATTGCATTGAATCGATAGACTGCTTTGGGTAGTATGACTATTTAAAGATGTTAATTCTTCCTGTTCATGAACGAGGTACTAGTATATGCTTCCACTTACTTGTAACTTCTTTCATTTCTTTCTTCTGTGACTTAGAATTTTCTGAGTACAGGTCTTTTACATCCTTGGTTAAGTTTATTCTTAGGTATTTTCCCTAAGAATTTAGGTATTCTTGAGTATTTCCCCTCGAGTTAAATACCCCCTCCTCCTGAAAGCCCTCCTGGACTGCCACACCTCATTGTTAGGTAGTGTCCCCTCCTCTAAATCCCAACCACCCTGTAACCGCCTCTGTCTAAGGGCAACCATCAGCCCTTTCATAGTTCCCTCGCTGGACAGGGATCCCCTCAAGGGCGGCCCCCGTCTGGCTGCTCTGCACTGGGCCGAGCATATAGTAGATACGCAGTAACCCTGGGATGCAGGAACAAATGCCGAAATACCGACAGCCCCGACTTACGATGGTTTGTTTGACTTACGACTTTACAGCTGTATGATGGTGCGAAAGCAATACACATTCAGCAGAAACTGTCCTTTGAATTTTGCTCTCTTCCGGGGCCAGTGGCACTCTGGTGGTGCTGTCGGTGGCCGCAGCTCCCAGGCAGCCACGCGCTCACCGGGGTCAACAAGCAACACCGCTGGGTGTACTCACTGTGCCGCTGTGAGTGCCCGAGCACGCTGTGTGGGCAGCCAAGCTGCGGTGTTCCTCGGCGAGGTGTGTTAAATGCATTTTCTCAGGACATTTTCCACTGACCACGGGTTTATCAGGAGGCACACCCCTCGTAAGTCAAGGAGCATCTGTACTAAGTTCCAAAATGCAAGCTGAGCCCGGCCGGCGTGGCTCAGTGGTTGAGCGTCGACCTATGAACCCGGAGATCGTGGTTCCATTCCTGGTCAGGGCACGTACCCATGTGCGGGCTCCATCCCCCGTGGGGGGCGTGCAGGAGGCAGCCGATCAATGATTCTCTCTCACCATTGATGTTTCTATCTCTCTTTCCCTCTCCCTTCCTCTCTGAAATCAATAAAAATATATTTTAAAAAACGCAAGTTGACCAAATGCTTTATACATTGGAAGCTTTACAAAACAAGGCAAAACAAACAAAAAACTAAAAGAAATGACTGTAACAGTGCCACGTGCAAAATATGACCAAAGTTCATCCCAACTCTGCCCCAACGTGAGGAAGTGATGTGAAGAAAGAGTGCTCTGCTCCCTCGGGGCCGCCCTGCCCGCCGGGGTGACGGACCCTACCTCGGCCAGCACGTCCTGGAACTGCTCCCTGGTGAGCGTCAGCAGGAAGGTGTTGATGACCCTCCGCAGCTCGCTCTTGGACACCGTCATGCTGTAGCTGGGATCGAGCAGCAGGAAGGCTTTTACCAACTCGTCTCCTTTATCGGTAATTTTTTGAAATAAAATCCGTTTAACATCTAAGGAGGACAGTATCGGATTTGCAACACTTGTGGCTGTAGAAGAGAAACGGCTGTTTATTAAACATGCTTAGAGCTAAGCGACCAAGACCCTCCCCCTGTGGCCTGGGACCAAGCCGCCTGTGGACCTGTCTCTGTGGAATGACAGTGATAAGGACAGAGAAACACAAGGCCAAGACGGCCTGCCCTGCAAACAGCGTGGGTCATTACAGGTGAAACAGGGTGTTGGAATGAAACTTAGGAGTCAATTCCTTTTAAATCACTTGTTAAACTACATTGATTTTTCAACCTCTGGCTCATTTTCGAGGGTAAAAAGTGTAATTCTTACATCTAGATCGCATCCCCGTCGAAGACAAGGAGGAACTGAGAACAGGCACACCAAGGGGGAGGGTGCTGAGCTCGAACGTGCTTTGGGGCCTGGCCTGAAGGAGGGCGTCCTGGCTGCAGCGCGTCAGGTCCCTGGGTCCAGAGTCACAAAGGAGAGAGGCTCCCACACGGCCCTGCCTTTCCTCTGCCTACGATGGAAACTGCTGGAGTAACTGGTTGAAGCAACAAGCAAATACACTAACTACAAATCAACTCACGGTACCAACCAGCATCAGCCGGAAGATGTGACTATTCTATTTTCTAGTTTATGACCGACTAGGGGAAGAGGAAGCTAAGAATCGCTGCAGTTTGCAAAACCTCTCTATTTACGAGGTTGCACAGGCTTGGTGACCACAGTCAGTAACTGTGTCTTACGTGGTTAAATGTGTGTAGCATTGCCTGGTCACCCTCATAAGATACCACACCAGCTGCCATGCTGTGTGGAGTCACAAAGCCACAGGGAGAGGCCGCAGGTGGGTGCTCCGGGCATTTGCTCCCCTGGGAGGAGAGGACCGGCTGAGAGCCTGAGGGAGGGGAAGGGCTTAACCCTCCCATAGAGATGCTCACGGCGCAGCGTCGCCACGCGTGAACTTCCAGTCTCCACGGACTCACGTGGCACAGCTCGCAATTCCCTTTGGGCCCACACACACTGCTCTCCCTCTGCCCGCCCAGCCTGGCGTGCCAGCTGCACCCAATGTCACAGAGGGACCCTCCTGGCCATTTACATCTCCGTCCTGAAATCTTTCTTTCAGACTTTCATGGACATTTTTAGTTGCTTTCTGAGAAACCCATCTTTTCTGTCTTTTCTTTTTTTAATTTATTATTTTTTAAAATCTTTATTATTGAAAGTACTACATATGCCCTTTTCTCCCATTGACCCCCTTCACCTGGGCCCCAGGTCTTCGCCGCCTTATTGTCTATGTCCGTGGGTTATGCATATATATATGCATACAAGTTCTTTGGTTGATCACTTCCCACCCACCCACCTTCCCTCCAAGATTCCACACTCTGTCCCATGCTTCCATGTCTCTGGATCCACTTCGTTCACCTGTTTATTTTGTTAATTAGATTCCACATCTGAGTGAGATAATATGATACTTGTCTTTCTTGGACTGGCTTATTTCACTTATCATGATACTCTCCAGGTCCCTCCATGCTGTCTCAAAGGGTAAGAGATCCTTCTTTTTTACTGCTGCATAGTATTCCATTGGGTAAATGTACCACAGCTTTCTTTATCCACTTGTGTACTGATGGGCACTTGGGCTGTTTCCAGATCTTAGCTATTGTAGATTGTGTTGCTATGAACATAGGGGTGCATGCATGCTTTCTAATTGGTGTTTCTGGAAACCCATCTTTTCAATCAATAATTCTAATTTAAAATTATTAGGAAAAAATAATTATTAGAATTATCAGAAAATATTAATTTGAAACCATGTGAAATTGCTTAAAGGGAAACCTTTCATTTCACGTGCCCCTGCAACTTCTGAGATTTAAAATGAAAGCACTAACCAAACTTTGCATGACCTGCTAGTGAGAATGCAAATTAATTTCATCTTTCTGCATGGCAATTTGACAGAATTTTTTACATCTATCCAGAATAAAGTCACAACAGATTGTCCCTCTTCCTTCTAACAATGAGGAAAAAATGAGATAAGCTAAAAAAGATGGCTTTAAAAGCCCATCTGAGAACTAAGGATGGAAAGAGATTAAATTCAGAAAGGATGGGCACTCGCAGAGACAGAAGACCCAGGACCCTCTCCCCCTGTGGAGCCCCAGGAAGAAAAGCCAAGCCGCTCTGGGCTGTGTGGTGCCCAGGGCACACAGGGCCTTCAGCTGGCGCAGGGCAGCGGCTGACCCCCACGGAGGACAGAGCAGAGAGCTGAGGCAGTCCCTCCAGAGCCAACGGGCCTTCGCTGAGTGTACCTCGCAGCCCATTGCAGACCTCGGGCAGGGTGGCCAGTGGCCGGGCCGGGGCAGAGAACACCCAGAACACTTCTGAAACTGGCAGGTGGGCTGAAAGCACAGCGCTCCCCAGTGGGCCGAGCTGGCAGCTGGGCTGTGGGACAGATCTCTGGAGTCTCCCCAGGGTTCAGATGTCAAGAGCTGTTGAAGGGAGACATCTGAAACCAGGGGTCCCCCAAATCTAACTGAAACCGCAACCAGTCCAGCCCGACTGAGAGATTACACGGAGCAGCCATCTCACCAAAAGCCAGGAGAGGAGGCGCATTCCTTTAGCTGGTGGTGAATATTAGTTACTTCCATCTCTACTGTTTTTCACACAAATGTCTGGTCTTAAATCTTTTTTAACTTGCAAGACAAGTGAAACAGGGAAGGTGTCCTAATGAAGAGCAAAAACAGTCATGAGAAGACCCCAGAGTGAACAGATATAGCCGTGATCAGGTGTTTAAACTAAGAATGGTAAATGTGTTAGAGACTAGAGGCCCAGTGCATGAAATTTGTGCACTTGGTGGGGGGGGGCGGTCCCCTCAGCCCGGCTTGCACCTTCTTGCAGTCCGGAAGCCCTCAGGGGCCTAAGCTGGCAGTCGGACATCCTTAGCGCTGCCAGGGAGGCGGGAGAGGCTCCCGCCACCGCCGCTGCACTTGCCAACCATGAGCCCAGCTTTTGGCTGAGCAGTGCTCCCCATGTGGGAGCACACTGACCACCAGGGGGCAGCTCCTGCATTGAGCGTCTGCCCCCTGGTGGTCAGTGCGCATCATAGCACCAGTTGTTCCACCATTTGGTCAATTTGCGTATTAGCCTTTTAATTATATAGGATAACAGAAAAGTTGACACAATGTCAACACAGTGGGGTTTCATCAGAGAAATGGAAACTTTTTTTAAGAAGTACATGAAAAAGCTAGAAAATAAAAATACAACATCAGAAGTGCAGAACTCACTTGATTTGCCTAATAGCAAACTGTACATAGTAGAAGAAAGGACTAGTGAATACAGAATCAGGTCAGTAGAAATTGTTCAAATTGAAACAAACAAAAGGCAAAAAACATTCATGAAAGAACCAGGGTGTCTAGTATCTGTGGCTGCCAGGTTCACGTTTACCCCATGAATTCTGCTTATTTAATATACAAGTTAAACAAGTACGTATCTACATATATATGTGCTCGCATGAAAGCAAAGCCAGCCAAACAAGTAATAGTGACCACTCTTGGAGAGGAAAATGCTGCCAGGATGCACCATATAAATATCTACATGAACATACAAATATATATATAATTTGTATTTAAGAAAAAAAATTGAAAAATGCCATCACTAAAAATTAAAGGCAAATGACCAATGAAAAAAGACACGGATGGCACATCAGGCAGATGAAGGATTAATATCTTCATTACAGAGACAGCTCATAAAAATCACTAAAACCACTTACTCATAGTGGGTAAGTGAGCAAAGGGATGGAAAGGCAGGTTACAAAAGAAAACAACACAAGCCAGATGAACTGGAGATCAAAGCTGACCTCTACTGTTAGAGACATGCAAACCAAAATCGCCACAGAGCACTGAGTCCGGACTTGAAAGGACAAGAGGTAAAGGGTGATATTCTGTCAGGATGCTTAGAATAAGCACCTTTAAACATTACCTGCGGGCGAACGGGTACAAGCGTCCTCAGGGCAATCCAGGAGCCTGAGCTCGGGAATGCCCTTTGACCCAGTGACCCCTGTGACCCAGTGACCCGCTCACTGCAGCCTTCCGGTACCATCAGCGTTAGGGAAACCAAGCCACACCCAAAGGGCACTGCAGGCCTGGCGCTACTGGACTGGAACAGGCTCATTACTGATGAGACATTTCTGTGCTGGAAATTGCTAGTCAACCCTCGCTTCCCACTCTCCTTTTCCCCTAGAAACAGGAACCCTGAGATGTGGGTAGACACGGGGCTGTCTGGCATAAAGTCTGTATTTCCCAGGCTCCCTAGTGGATGCATGTGACCATGTGATTAAAGTCCCGCTAACTGTGAGCGCACAGGTGCCCACTGTGACTTCTGACTGCCTTTCTCCCACTCATGAGGCAAAATCAATCCCCCCCATCGTGTCCCCTCCGAGTCCTGCTCCTGGGCCGTGCACTCACTGCTGCGTCCGTACATCTGTCCCGGCACGTGATTCTCACTACTGGAACGCTCCATTTTCCTCCCTGGACTCCCCTCCAGGCGGGTCCTCCCTAGACCCACCTCCTTCTCCTTAGAACCTGTGACGGTTCTTGTCACATAGTAGGGCTCATGAAGTGTCTGAGAAGGGAGGGAGGGAGGGCTCATGCCACCACCTGCCACTTAGAAACTGTGTAGCTGTGGGGAAGAGTCTCGGGTCCCCGTAAAGAGAGGAGGGACGATAACAGAACCCACTCCCTCCCTCTGCTGTGGGGACCCAGGGCCGTGAAGCCCTCGGACAGAGTCCAGCACGCACCACACACAGTGACAGCTCCTGTCAGTAGCATTTGCTCGTGAATACTCACTTGAGGAAGATCTGGACGTATTTTGGAAACCATTTCTTGAACAGACTCTAAATGATGAAGTGCAGGGTCTTAAATTTTTGAATTTTTGAACGTGAGGACACAGAGTATGCCAAACTGGTATGGTAGCCATTTTGGACGTTAAATCCCTGCGACAGAAGAGAAAGCAGAGTATGTTACCTTCCAGCACACATTACCGATGAGGCCAACCTCCCATCTAGTCCTCTCCGGGCAGGACAGCGGAGGCTGTGAACACAGCCAGCTATGACCCTCCCGCCCACGTCGCGAAGACTATTCTTAAAGTGAACAGAAAACTACGGTGTTACTCTCCCTGTTTTTAGCAGATCCAATCATCTTCAAAAATGGAAAAATGCAGCTGTTCGGACACGAACCCCCCCCTGCATCCTGACTGGTGTGCACCACTTTGTTCACATAAAAAAGCACTCAAACCTGAAAGAGTTTTGTGAGTTCATTTGAGCCAAACTGTCGACAATTGCCAGGAAGCAGAATCTCCACGATGGGGCTAATGCTCGGGAAATGGCAGTTTCTCACTGTTTGATACGTGACAGTCAAAGGAGGAGACGTAGGTGGGTGACGTGAAATCCACTGGTGATGGGTTGGGGCGGGGGGAGCAAAGCGGGGAAACCTCTGAGATTGGATGGAGAGTAAAAGGTTAGTGGGTGCAGGACAGTTAACGATAATAACAATGAAGGAATTTGCGGTCTCTGTCCTGGCGCCCAGGGCATGCCAGGAAAGATACCCGCCTAGGACGTGACGACCCACCATAACTGCTTCTAATTAAAGTTTTAATTTCAGACCATTCTCTGTGGTTATTTTGGGTCTTTGAGTTTGCCTTCCCTGAACTTGTCAGGTTAGCGTGTGGCTCCTTTTTCATCCCCAACTCCTTTGGTGGCCATGAGGATGGAAAGTCTGGACTCTGAGCTTCTTCTTTTTATTAAATGTATTGGTTGATATGATCATATAGGTCTCGGGTGTGGGTTCCTAGGTTACCAGACCTGCATCTTGCCCTGTGTGCCACCGCCCATGGACTGAGCTTCCTAAGCGCCTCACTGTGCACCCAGCACACAGTGAGGCAGAGCTGGCCTCTGAAAGCCTTCCCCTCCGTGAAACAGCGAGAAGCCGGCCAAAACGCCACAGCGAACCGTTTCAAAACTCTGCAGTTAACCAGAGGTTTGCAGCAATCTAGGGAGCATAGGTTCACGAAATCCGGCAGAATCTCTGTATGAACACAAGTTTGGGGCGTTTTAACTTTCTCTGTTCCCATCTCCCCGCTCCCTTGAAATCAAGCGCCTGATCTCAGTGGAAACCCGGCAGCCAACAACCACTGGCAGGAGCAGAGGGCTGGACCCCGTCACGGCCCCATTACCAGAACATTCTCATTACCTGACACACTGTGGTTCTGGGAAGACTCCACTCACAGGCTGCTCTATGGTAACCAATTCAGAGTTCACACCCAGGGGGAACAGGCTATTGTGAAAAGGTTTGTTGAAAAAAACCAAAGATAATTGTGTTTAAAACCTTAGCTGCCTGAGTAGGGGGGTAACAGGTGGAGTAAACAATAGACTAAAAGCTTGAAGCAGTGGTTCTCAACCTTGGCTGCACATTAGAATCACCTGGGAATCTTTTTAAAATCCTGATTTCTGGGCCTCCTACTCCGGAAGTTCCGTCTCGTTGATATGGGGTAGGGCCACTGGAAGGAAGAAGCAAGAAACTGAGATTTCAACCGGACGCGGCTCGTAAGTGACGAAGTTGGAAACGCTGTCTAGCCAGAAAGGTCCCCGCCGGCTTTATAACAAGTCACGCCTTTTTCCCCCCTGGACCTACCTAGGACCGAGAGAAATTACTAT